CAACATATGAGTCTTTGGGCACTCAACCATGTCCAAACCATAGTAGGGCCCTCTGTAGAGTTTTGGAAGGTAGAAAGCACATGAGAATGGTGGTGATGATTATAGACAGTGTTGTTAGACAGATGTGGGCAGGACTGTGGTACCTTTTCTGTGTTGCCTGCATGTACTTTCATTAGAGCTACTAGCACAATTTGCCGTATCTTTCCAGCTCCAAAGGCATGGTGTGTAGGAGGTGCTTAGTATTGCTTAAATGATACATTTTCTGCTGATTTGAAATATAAATAAGATTTTTCGTTCTTAGTCTACCTTAGTCTATATTTTTTAAAGAAATGTCAAGTAAATCTCAGAATTATGCAATTTGAATATTGTGAATATAAGGGTATAGTTAGGCCATCTTTTCATTTGAGTTTATTAGCCTGGGTTAATATATTTTGGTTATTGCTATTTCATTTTGGAGACATTCCCTGCAAGTCTGTTCCTCTGGAGGACTGAAGATAAAAGTGACTGAACTTTATTTAATTGACTAATTAACATTTTAAAGGACACTAAAGGTCACAGCCCAGGTGACTGCAGTTAATTTTCTCAGCGTTTCAAAGCACTCTTCTACTTTTTTTCACTGTGCTTTAGTATATTCAGGTCTCTTTTGGGATTATAGATCTCTCCCTTCCTCTGCTCCTCTTGTCAGGTGTGAGTCTTATGTATAGTGTCTTTAATGCAACTTTATTCAGCCTTGACTTTGTAAAAGGCCTGGGCCCAGTGGTCTCAGGAACTCAAAGATGAGTGTTCTCTCCTGAGTTGTCATCTGGCAGGACCACAGTGATAGACTCCAGTAAGATTAAGACCATACCATGCTGAGAGGAGTCCAGTGGCACAGGGAGGAAAGTCCTGGTGTCTGCATTGATCCCTGGAGTGGGAGGAAGAGTGGATGTTTAATAGGTATCCAGGCCCTGTTCTAAGCACTGTGTGTATTAGTTTTTGTTCATCCTTGTACAGTTTATGGTATGTTCTGTTATTTGCATTTTATACAGAGGAAACTGACGTAAAAGGTAAGTACTTGTCCAAGGGCTCATGGCTCATAAATGGTACTGTTTAATAATGTGAATTGCTGTCCTAGACAAAACAGGATTTGAACAGATGAAGATTAAGAATTGTGCACACCTAGAACCTAGGTGGGGAAGCTACAGTAATCAGATACATGGAGGTATACAAGTCGGCTATTTTGCCAAGACCTGGAATTGCATACTAAAGGGAATAACTGTAACACACATAGTCATAGCTAGTATTCACACAGGCTTTGTGGGGTCCTCCTGCCTGTGCTGATGCATTTGGTGGAATGTAGTGGTTATTAAGTGGGCAGTGGTGAGGTTGTGAAGGTTTTTGAGTAGGGGAATCATAGTGTTTGTTCCTGCTTCTGTCTTGTCAAACTGCCCTGAATTGTTGACATTTATTCCCCCAGTGCCTGACCATGCTTAGGTCTCAGCATTTGCTCTTCTCTGTCCTCTGCCCATTCTCTTTTCTTCCCTCTACAGTTATACTTCTGAAAGAGTTTCTTGGAGAGACATCTGCATATATTTCTACCTTTTCACCTCGCCATCAGTGGCTCACTGTCTGCCTCTGGCCTCACCACCATCATGCCACTGGATTGTCCTCACTAAGGTGGCAGTGCCCAACTCACTGCTTATTTCTGCAAGGACATTTCAGGCTTATCTTATCCAATAGTTCTCAACCAAGGATGATGTTGCTTCCTAGGGGATATCTGGAAGTGTCTGGAGATGTTTTGGGTGTCACAATCAGGCAAATGGAGTATTACTGGCAGCTATGGGTAGGAATGTTACTTAGAACATATTAAAAATTCTCAGGATGGCTTCCACATAAGGAATTACCCAGCCCAAAGTGTCAGTAGTGCAAAGGCTGAGAAACTAATCTTACCAGGTACTCTGGGACATTGCACAGTCCTCTATTCGTAATACTTTTCCCTAACTGATTTGATGGAATTTCTGACTTGTCTTCCAGTGATTCTCCTTCTTTTTTTTTTAACCAATCTCTGTTGAGGACTTTTCTTCTCTAGTCTTGGTACTAACCCTTATTTCCCAGGATTCTTTCATCAGTTTCTTGTTTATGCCCATTCCTCCAATTCCTCTTGAGCATCCCATGGGTCTCAGGACCTCTATCTCTGGGTAACTCATTCCACATCTGTACTCTCAGCTCAGACTCTTTTAAGTTCTAATTACATTCACGTCATTTTCTAACTTGATATTGTATTGCATGGGTACTTGCAGCTAACTCAGCAGGTTCAAATTAGGGGAGCCCAAAGTCTTCTGTCCATACCTATCCCTGTTCAGCATCTTGTGAGTTCTCATGTGCTGTCATCTGACACTGCTACAGGAGATCAGGGACTCACAATTCCACCAGATAACTAGAGCTCTTGTCTTTGGACTACCTGCTTTTAGTCCCATGCCCCACACTGCCACTAAGGAGCACATTCTAAAACAGAATCATGAGGCTGAGAGTTGTCCTTTAGTGTCTCACGTACAGGAGATTTGTCTAAATTCCTGCACATAGCACATGGAAACTTTGCAATCAAGTCCAGGGGTTTCCATTTGGGATTAATACTGCCCTCCAAAGGGGCCTTTGAAATGTTATGGGCATCAGAGTTATGGGAAGGTAAGGTGGGTGGAAGCTACAGATATTAAGTGTTCTTATAATGTACTGGACAGCCCTATTCCACAAAGAATTGTTCAGGCACCAGTAGAGCCCTCACTGAGAAAAGACAAATTTAATTTTTACCTTCTTTCTAAAATAGTGGAGAGAGAAGTGCTGAGCACTAGGCCTGGGAAGTACTTCTTTTGAGGAATGGGAGGCAAAGGAGGAACTAGATGGTAATAAAATAGCACATAAATGCGGAGAAGAGTTTAAGGGGAGTGATGAATTGTATTGAACATTGTAGAAATGCAGAGACCAGGTGGGGAAGCCTACTGGTCATGTTGCTCTGCATGGTGCTTTTCTCATCTCTGGGCTTGTAATTAAACTCAGCCCCTGCTCCATATAACTGGCAGCTCCTACTTTGGGCCTGTGGCTTCTGGCCTCTTTCCTTGGCATGCCTGGAATCCTTTCTGTTGCTACACCACCAGGCTCTCAGTCTCCAAGATTGGCCCTACTTTTGACCAATTTTGCCATATCTAGTTTAGCGTCTCCACCACCTCATTACAGAGCTTATTTCACAAATTAAAATGTCCTAGTTGTATCATAAAGATTCAGCTAATGATAAGAACAAGAGTGACAATAACATTAGTAAATCTTATATGCAAAGTACTATGCTAAAAGCTCTAAGCATTTTCTACTTAATCCTCACTAAAATCTCTATAAGGAAGTAACTAATTATGCCCATTTATAGTTGAGGAAGTTGAGAATTAAATAGGTGAAGTAACCAGTCCACTTTTATAAGCTAGTATTCCATGGAACTGGGCTTCTAGTTCTTTTTCCTTTCATTTAAAAAGTATATTTCATTTTTTAGAACTGTTTTTTAAGTTCACAGCAAATTGTGAGTTCAGAGAGTTCCTGCACACTCCCTACCCCCACACATGCATAACATCCCACTATCAACATTCTCCACGGAGCGGTACATTTGTTACAGTGGATTAACCCACACTGACATCATTATCACTCAATTTCATAGTTTACCTTAGAGTTAATTGTTGATGTTGCATACTCTGTGAATTTTGACAAATGTATCCACCATTATAGTGTCATGGAATAGTTTCACTGTCATAAAAATCATCTGTGCTCTGTTCATCCATCCCTCTTTCTGGAAACTATTGATTTTTTAGTGTTTCTATCAAATTTTTTGACATTTAAAAAAAATTCTATATGTTTTATACATCAAAACACATTCCACTGTCATATATAACTAAAAAGAACAAATAAAAAAATGAGTTCTAAGTTCATTGAGTTATCATTGAGAAGTTACAGGAATCCAGTGGAATTCTAATCTCTACACCACACTTGGCTATTTAAGAAGTAGGTTCTGGCCTGGGGTTGTGGCTCAGTGACAGAGTGCTTGCCTCACATGTGTGAGGCACTGGATTCGATTTTCAGCACAGTATATAAGTAAAAAATAAATAAAGATTCATAGAAAATTAAAAAAATATATTAAAAGGTCCATAAAAATATATTAAAAGGTCCATAAAAAAAAAAAAGAAATAGGTTCTGGGAGCTGGGGATATAGCTTGGTGATATAGTGCTTGCCTAGCCTATGTGTGAGGTCCTGGGTTTTAACCCCAGCCCTGGAGGTGAAATGAGTTCTGCTTTGTGCCATCATCTTTTCCTTCTGGGAACTTGCTGGGCTGTTTGTAACGTGTGTGAGACCTTTGCTTAAGACCAGGTAGAGACATCTCATTGTTTTTGTGAAAGAACTGGGAGAACTCTGATTTTTTTCCCTTTATAGCCTGGCAGTGGAATTCTTTGTAGACCAGTGAGTTAGTTTGACCACACATAACTGTCATTAGGTCAGCTCACTCTAGAATTAGAGCTGAGGCTTGTCTGTTTTCTCTCTTCTGATATTCAGGATAACTTAAAGCCCATGATAAAGGGCTTTGAAAGTGCCAACAGAACTGCTTCATATTATTTCTTAGTTCTCTGGAGTGATTATTCATTTTTAAAGGAACCTTGTAACTGCCTGTCTTTATACCCAACCCACATCTTAGGAAAAACTCATACTGTACTGTTGCAAGTACTGACACAAAATTGCACTTGAAGAATTCAGACTTTTTGAAGCTCACTGGTTTATTTTTTAACAGATAACAAATATCAGAAAATAAATTTCCTTGGTACAACTTCATACCAGAAGAAAATGGTAAATGTTTTTTAATTTTGTCTAGTAGTTATTCCAGTAGTGGCATATCTCTGGCATAAATGGGCTTAAGTGGATGATAGGTTTGCTGTCTGGATTGGTGTCTGCTGGTGTCCTGTGCACTGAGTCTCTCTTTTGGTTCCTCTTCCAGAAGCCCCATGTGCCACGCCCTTGCTCTGCAGCTTCGGGAGACCAGTGGACCTGGAGAAGGATGACTATCAGAAGGTGGTTTGCAACAATGAGCACTGCCCTTATAGCACCTGGATGCACCTGCAGTGCTTCTATGAGTGGGAGAGCAGCATCCTGGCACAATTCAACTGCATTGGCCGGGCTCGCAGCTGGAATGAGAAGCAGTGCCGTCAGAACATGTGGACCAAGAAGGGCTACGACCTGGCCTTCCGATTCTGCTCCTGTCGCTGTGGTCAGGGCCACTTAAAGAAGGACACAGACTGGTACCAGGTGAAGCGGATGCAGGACGAGAAAAAGAAGAAGTCTGGATCAGAGAAGAACACAGGGAGGCCCCCAGGGGAGGCTGGGGAGGAGGCAAAAAAATGCAGGCCCCCAAACAAGTCTCAGAAAGGCCTGAACCATGATCTCCCCCGACGACATTCCATGGACCGGCAGAACTCCCAGGAAAAGGTCGTCAGTGCCACAGCCTATGGTGCCCGTTCCCCTTGTGGCTCCCCTGGCCAGTCCCCACCTACTGGCTACTCTATCCTTTCCCCTGCCCACTTCAGTGGTCCCCGCTCCTCCAGATACCTTGGGGAATTCTTAAAGAATGCCATCCATCTTGAGCCTCACAAAAAGGCCATGGCTGGGGGCCACGTGTTCAGAAATGCCCACTTCGATTATGCTCCAACTGGGTTATCTGTTCACAGGGGGGGACACTTTGATACCCCTGTACAGTTCCTACGGCGGCTGGACCTCTCTGAGCTCCTCACTCACATCCCCAGGCATAAGCTGAACACTTTTCATGTAAGGATGGAAGATGATGCTCAAGTGGGCCAGGGCGAGGATCTACGGAAGTTCATTCTTGCAGCCCTCAGTGCCAGCCACAGAAATGTTGTAAACTGTGCTCTGTGCCACCGGGCACTACCTGTCTTCGAACAGTTCCCTCTGGTGGATGGAACTCTGTTCTTAAGCCCCTCAAGACATGATGAGATCGAATATGATGTTCCTTGCCACCTTCAAGGTATAGGTGTTGATTCACCTTGCCTGATTACTGTTTGTTAAAACTCAAAAAAGCTAACAAGGTGGAATTGCTCTGTTTTGACTTAATTTTAATTGATGTTGTATTTTTGTTCTAGTCAGGTGCTAGGTAACATGTGAATGTTTCAGCTTCGCCCAGTGAGGTGATGGTGATTTTTGTACTCTGATGTCACTGTACCAAGTATAGTTGGCCTGGTGGGTAATTTTATGTTCTTTTTCTGCTTTAATTTGAAGAGAGGATTACTGGTGTATAGTTTTTCATAATTGGGAGGGAATTTAGGAAAGGAATTGTATAATTTTCACTGGCTATGAAATAGTTTCTTTTGAATCCTGTGTTAATGTGTCCAGAAAGCTGTACATTTTCTTTGATCATAAGGGGGGGCAGGGGGGAGGCAGACGTGGAATAAGGAACAGGATGGGCCAATATGTTTTCAGACTAGTTGAATTAATTTTGAAATTGTGAAAGATGAGACTGTCTTATTAGCATCAAAAGGAAAGTGCAGAAACCTCAGACATTATTTTGGTGATGGTGGGAACAGTGGGAAAGTTTATGTGGATGATATTCAAGAACTTGGGCAAATTTGAAGCATAAATTGAATGACATGGGGTTGGATAGTACAAGTGTGAAATCTCTTTAATTTTAATAAAATGATTGAATCTCCATAAAGATGAGATGTATGACATATACCATGTTCATACCTTTAAAAGTGTGCTAAAAAGCCTGTAGTGAAAATAATATATCTCTGCCTTTTTTCCCACCAGCTCCTGCTGTCTCAGTCCCCAGAGACAAGCATTTCAAATCTTAACTGATTTTGAAAAGCTTTTAACATCATAATTTAAATACTGTTATCTTCATTCTCCAGTTTTAGATATTATCTGTTAGTTTTTATGGTGGATGAGTATACATCCCCCCTTTTTAGGAGAAAATATCACAATTCTTGGTTAAATCCTTAATGTTTTTGCTGCTGTGAGTTGTAAATATTTAGTGTTGAGTCAAAGCATATGGCTATATTTCCTATTATAGAGATACCTTTTGTTTTCATTAGAGTTAATTCATATTTTTATTTGCTTAGGTTTTTTTTTATTTAATGTTGGCTAGTTGCTCTCTCTCTCCAGCAGCTTTACAAACCTTTCAAAAGCATTTCCACATACCTGACAGACATTTTTGTGGTTTTTTTTTCTTCAGAAAATGTTCCTCACAGAGCCTTTTATCCCCCTGTTCCTATTTATCCTGGTACCCTTAGGACCTGCTGTACTTCAGCTATCCTTGGAAAGCCTTCATTTCTTTTCCTGTGTAAATTTTGCTTCCTAGATCCCATATTTTCTTTTTTCTTGGGTTATTCCTTCAGTTTGTTAGAAGACATCATTAGGACTAAGTTTCTGAAGTAAGAGAGCATGGGAATACGTGATTTGAGACTTTAAAAGTCTGTTTCAATTCTGTTTTCACACTTGACTACTATTTAACTGGGTATAGTCATCTAAATTATAAAATATTTTCCCCTGAGAGTTTTGAAAGTATTTCTTTTATTTTCTTCTTAAAGGTATTTCTGTATTACAGTGTTGGTGTTAGGAAGTCTGATTTCTTTTTCTTGTCTCTTCTTCTATCTTCACCCCATCCTGCAGGTTTCTTATATTCCTGGTGTTCTAATTTCACCATGATATCTGCTCTTCCCCTACCTACTCCATTCATTATGCTGTGTACTCTCTTGGGCTATTGATTCAAAACCTTCAGTTTGGAAGGATTTTATTTTGTATTATTTATTTGATAAATTTTCTCCTCATTTTCACTTAAAAAAAAACTACTATAGAACTCCTGTTAATTAGATGTTGGATCTCTTATATTCATCCTACTTTTTGGTTGAGCGAGAATTCTTCATGGCCCTTTTATTTATCTCTTTATTCTTTTTTCTAGGAGATTTCCTTGACTTTCTGTTCTCATACTTTTAATTCCTAAGAGCTCTTTTTAATAGCTTTCTGTTCTTAATACATGAATACGATTTCTTTTTCTTAACGATTTCTTATGTTATATTTCTGAGCAAGAAAAGGGAGCTGAATTCAAAAGGAGTAGTCTCATTCATTTTGAGAATTTTACTTAATTCTTTTTTAGCCTTTGTTTTAAAGCAGAATACTCCAAAACTTCATGGCTTAAAAGCAGTTATGATTTAAGAACTTTTCCCAATTCTATGGGTGGGTTGGTTGGAACAATCTTTCATACACATCTAGCAGCTGTCAGACTAGATGCTTCAGGAGGCTCAGCTGGAACGGCTCATTTAGGATCTATGTAGTCTTCATCTTCCCTTAGGCTAGTTTTATTTTGTTTTTAGTTGACACATAATAACACCATACTCATACATGTATATTTGTGAGGTACAATGTGATGTTTTGATATATGTATACATTGTATAATCATCACATCAGGCTATTTAGGATATCTGTCACCTTGTACATTTACCTTTCTTTGTTGATGAGAACATTCAAAATCCTCTTCTGATATTGTTAACTTTAGTTACCTTACTGTGCAATAGAATACCAGAATTTACTCTTTCCTGATTAACTTTGTACCAACTAGCCAATCTCTTTCTCCCACTTTTCTCCCCTTCCCAGTCTTGAGTAGCCACTATTCTCCCTGTGTTTCTATGAGTTCATTTTTTTTTAAAAAAAAAGATTCTACTAAAATCATGATATTTGCCTTTCTGTGCCTGATTTATTTCACTTAGCATGACAAGTTCATCCATGTTGCCACAAGTTATAGGATTTCATCTTTATATGGTTGAATAACGTTCCATTGTGTATATGTACGATATTTTCTTTATTGAATCATCCATTGATAGACACTTGGTTGGTTCTATATTTTGGCTGTTGTGAATAATGCTGCAGTGAACATGGGAGCATAATAACTCTTTAACATACCAATTTAATTTCCTTTGGATATATACCTGTACCACTACTATTGTTGAATCACATGGGTAGTTGTAGTTTTAATTGTTTTTTTTACACAGAATATTTTATTGTCACCATGTAATCAGTGACAAATTTTAATTTTTTGAAAGACCTTTTCTGTAGTGGCTATACTAATTTACATCCACTCGGGCTTGGACTTATTCACATGGCATTACGAGAACAGCTTTCCAGAGGATGAAAGTAGAAGCTTCAGGGACTCTTCAGAGGCTTGAGCTTAAGGCTGAGTTCCAAAACTCCTCCCATATGCTGTTCATCAGCCTAAGTCCTGAGTCCAGACCAGGTTCTGAGGATATTAGAATATTCTGCTTCTTGAGGAAAGAGACAATTTTCTGGTTGCTTGTAATTTGCAGCACTCCCCACCTTGCCATTTCCCATTTCAGCAGCTTATCCCCTGTTCTCAGTGTTTATTTTCCAGTATCAGAGCTAAATTATTTCCTATTCCTTTATCCACTTTGCAGCCTCATATATTTTGGTTTAAGATTGTAGGTACTTCATTGTTTCATGGAAGGTGGAGTTTGTGTTTTATTCCTTTTTTAAAATCCTGTTTGCTGGAATTTTAGAAGGAAGTGTTGTAGAAACACATTTGTTTCTCCATTTTAAAATTTGAACCATTCTTGGGCTGGGGTTGTGGCTCAGTGAGAGCACTTGCCTAGTACACATGAAGCACTGGGTTTGGTCCCCAGTACAACATAAATAAACTAAATAAACAAAATAAAGCTATTGTGTCCATCTAAATACATATATATTTGAACCATTCTTTATGAAGATGAATGAGAGTGCATAGATAGAAGGCCACGTTTCTTATGAATTGAAAGATTTTGAACAATTTTTTGAAATATCTTTATTTTATTTATTTTTATGTGGTGCTGAAGATCAAACCCAGTGCTTCACACGTGCTAGGCAAGCACTTACCACTGAGCCACAACTCTAGCCCCGATTTTGAACAATTTTTAAAAAGCACAATTACATGCCCCCAAAGTTATTTGAAAGGGTTGGGCCCTAGAGACTTAAATTTTAATTTAAAGTTTTAACTTTATTTTTGTAGCCTAAATGCACAATGATGAAAGCCTACTGCATGGTGACAGTGGGAATCAAAAGGAGGGAATATCTTCAAGAGATTATTTTAAAGGAAAATGGCGAATTTTGGGACTCCTTGACTATAGAGGATGAAGAGTTTTTGTTGGCCACTTTGGTTCTAGATCAGATAAGTGGTGCTTACCCAGACAGGAGCAGAGGAAGTTGGGAATAGGACCTGATTTGGGAGGCAAAGAAGATGAAAGCATTTGTATTTGAATGTATGTTGGGACTTTTGCATGGAGATATCTAGCAAGCACTGTTCAAAATACATTAGCATTGGGATTAACACCAGGAGCTTATTTTATAACAGTGGTGGTTAAATCTTGAGTACAAGGAGAAAAGAGAAAGAAAAGAAAGAGGATATGAGAGAGCCCAAGACCAAGTCTTGAGATTAAGTATTAGGGAGTGGTTCGAGAAAGAGGTGAAAATTAGATAGGCCCCTGTCATTTGTATTCCCATAAATATGTAATCATACGAATAGATAATGAATGTTTTAGATATATACTATAAAAGTATTGAGAATTCACTGTTAATTTTATAATCTGAAGGTCAGAGTGTCTAATCATTACCAGAGAAGTCACAAATGAGACCTTGGACATGTGTCAGTGTTTTTGTGGTATATCTCAGAGATGTATGGGTGATCTTACTTATAACAGGTTTGTGTAGTTCATTTTTTCCACCAGGGTTCCCAACCATATATTCCTTAAAGTATTTTCAACGGCAATAAGAAGTCAACATTCCAGGCTATGGGATTCCACAGTATACAGTTGATTATGTGCTGCTGAAAAATTTGCTGTTTTCAGTGGTGGACCCTGTAGATTGTTATTCCCTTGCCCTACCCCTGATCTTCCTCCACTGCTACCTCCACCTGTGCCCTCATGCTCTGATTCTTCCTCTGAGAAAATGTTTTGTTTGGTTTTAATAATTTATTAACATGGGTCTAATTAGGAAGGTCTTATTGACCTTCTTTACCACTTTGCACCACATGTCATTTTTGAATCTGCTTTTTACTTGAACTCACAAACAATCTCATCCTTAGAAACATAGAATTCTCTGTACTTTAGACAGTGTGTAATAAAACTAAAATCAAATCCAGAAACTCGGTCTGGGCCAGGCTTTCCCAAGAGTTTGCCTGTAGGTTAAGAGACAGACATGAATTTGAGTCTAGATATTGCCACTTATTTTCTTTGTGAACCTGAACAAGCTGCTCAGGGTCCCTAAGCTTCAGTTCCTCCTGTCTGAAGTGGGAGTAACAGTTGGACCTACTTGATAGTGTTGCTATAAGTGTTCAATGAAATGATTCATGTAGAGCTCACAGTATTTGTCTTTATCATCATGGCTATTGATCAACACCTGACTTCTGTGCCTCTCTCCTCCCACCTTCCCTAGCAACGGCCCATGTAGGATTGGATATTTGAGAATTGCAGTGAGTAGGTCTGGGAGGGAGACTGGAAATGAGGTGTTTCTAGTGGTCTCTGGATACTAGAACTGACTCCTTAACATTGTCTTCAGGCACTCAGAGTTGCCATGGCAGATGAGACCACCTTAATTTCAGTGTACCAGAGCAGAGATGGGCTGTATTGCAAGCAGTTCTTGGTCTCCTTCCTGTTTTTGGCACAGAGGGCCCCAAGGTTATAATGTCTTTGGCTATTATAGCATGCCCATCTATATACCCCCACACTTGAGGAGTGTTTTCCATGTCCATTGTGCTGGACACCAAGTCTATGTGAATGAATAAGACCCAGTTCCTGCCCTCAAGAATAGAGAGTCATGTAAGCAACTATAACAAAAGGGTTCCCTCTAAGGACTGACTGTTCATTACATACCTTTCCATTGGATGAGAAGTGGCTTGGTCCCTACCTGTAGTCTAACATGGGGCAGTGATCACATTCTGAATAAGAGACCACTTTGGGTATGTGTTCTGGTGAAGGGGTTTTGGGCACAGTGAAGCTTCGTGTTCCTAAATAGATAGCAGTGCTACTGATACATATTGTCTAGGCAGATCTTTAGACATTCTGAATCTTCCTCACTTGTTTGAATCCTAACCCTTTCATATAAATTAGGATGACATTGTTTCTTTATAAACATTAAGATGTTGATAAGTAATAAAGGAATGAGATTGTGATTTTTTAAGAGCCCAGTAAATAATAAGATGTTGAACTTTTAACAAACTACTTATAAGTAAGATATAATTCTGATTCCTAAATTAGATGTGATGATGGCTGAGCAATTTGGAGAGAAGGATAATTAACATAGTAATGTAGACTGTGGCATAATCCTGGGCTGTCAGTACCAAGACAGACTTGACTTTTTTTATGGCGAGATTCATAGTGGCAAGAGCTCGTTACAAGACCAGAGTTGGTTCATTCTCCATGTGCCACATGTAAGATTCTGAGCAGAGTTCTGTGAATACAGGCTGGTTTGGAGCATATGTGGCTTTGCTTTTATGAATTTGGGAGGATTAATTATGTAACCTGGCAGAACTTTTTGGAAAAGTAATTTGAAGCAAGTATTTATTTTTAATAAGCTTCAGTTTAAAGTAGCTGTCCTATTGATAATAGTAATTCATCATTAATTTTAAAGGGCAGCTTGGGGATGTGTGATAAATATCTTTTGTGCTTTTTATATTTATGCATATGATAAAATGTTTACTTGGAATTGGTAGATAAAGCATTTTTTTAAAATCCCCTTTGGCGATAAGATGTGATTTCAGGATGGCCACTCTCAGCTTTGTGTCTTTTCTGCACAGGGAGACTCATGCATCTGTACGCAGTATGTGTGGACTGCCTGGAAGGGGTTCACAAGATCATCTGCATCAAGTGTAAGTCACGGTGGGATGGCAGCTGGCACCAGCTGGGCACCATGTACACCTACGACATCCTGGCTGCTTCTCCCTGCTGTCAGGTTGGTATGGACTCCACCCAGGGAGTAATAGGTGATGCTCAGCTTCTGTCCATCAGTGAATATAACAGAGTTAGAGGCTGCCTGCATTTTGGTTACTTTGAGGGAGGTGGTAGGCCTTGGAAAAGATGCTCCTGCAAATGAAGAAGAAATTCAGAAACTCCCCCAGAGTCCGGCATGGATGATTTAGACATTACATTGTGATAGAATATTACAAAGTCATTAAAAGATACATTGTAGAATAGCTATATTTTTAATATGTAGAGTATTTCCCATCTGTTAAAGGAAAAAAAAAACAACAGGTAACAAAATGGCACTATACTGTGCTTCCATTTTGTGAATGAACAGGAAAAAGGATCTGCTAGTTGATTCAGATGAGCTGGGTAGTGGTTTTCTTTTTGCATGCTTATGTTTTCTCTTATTTTTTATAATTAGCTTACACTGAATTTACAATAATAGGTTGTGATTTGAAAGGAAGATGAAAGTTTCACTGTCTTTCACAGAATTTTGTTGTTTCCTTTCTGTGACTTAGCTCTAGTTATTTAGGAATTGCCTACCTCATAAGGTGTATGAGTGTGACATGAAAGATTTGCAATCCTTAAATCACTGGTAGGAAGAGGTGCTTTTTGAGGCCAAAGTAGCATCTGAAATTTAACTGTCATAAGGAAAAGAGAGTAGTATTAACATGCAAACATATTACTAAAAAAGATCATAGAAACACAGGAGGTAAAAATCTTTGGAAATAGCTTGGTGTATTTCCAAGCACTTGGGGATTAAAGAACTTATTATATAATTCCCTGCTATTTATGGGTAGAGGAGAAAGTTTTCTTTATTTTTCAGTCTGCAGGCCTGGCTTTTAATAGAAATAAATGATAACACACATACTTAGTTACTATAGGGGTTTTTATTATTAGTGTTGTAGTTTGATTTTTATAAAGAGAATGTCCTTACTATTATTTGTTTTCTCAGAAAATAACCTTTGTCTATTGAATTGAAAAGTTGACAGAGGTGGTATTTCAGATCTACTTTGTATTTTAGTATTTGTCAGAGGAGAAATATGCTTATGAGAGTCCTAAAATCTATAGCTGGTCTTGTAGTTCCAAATAGGATTGACTAATTCTATGCCATTCTAATACATTGACCATATTTCCATTTTAAAACTTAGCCTTGGAAATGAGTTGTCAAAATTTTTTAGTTATTCACTGTAGCATTTTGTGATTGTTGTTGAGTCTAAATGTCAGTTCTTGAGATCAAAGAAACCAAAGGAAGTAGCTTCTTTCTCTGCATACCTACCACAGGGGTTATCTTTTACATTAAATAAAATGAGGAAGTAAAAGAATGTTTGGGACTGTTAACTCATGGAATATTGGCATTGGAAGGGACTTGGGAGAGCTTGTCCAGCCACCTGATTTTCCACTTGTAATGGATGCCTCAGAAATTTAAATGTTTTACCCAGGTTAACATAAATTTTGTCACAGCAATGACTAAAACCTGTAATTCCCATTCTGGTGTTCTTTCTATTACAGCATTGAAGGACTATGGGATTATTACTGTATCTTTATTGAGGAGGAAAAAAAAACAAAGTGGCATCATTCCACACACTATATATATTTCTGCCACACACACTATGTATTTCTTCTTTAAAATGATTTAAGTGCAGTCAGGTGTTGTAGCATGCACTTGTAGTCCCATTGACTCTGGAGGCTGAGGCGGGGGTTGTAAGTTTGAGGCCAGCTGGGCAATTGAGCCAGACTGTGTCTCAAAATAAAAAAGGCTATAATGTATTTCAGTGGTAAAACACTCCTGGGTTCAGTCCCCACAAAAATATTTAAACCCAGACCTATGTTTTCTGGCCTTCTATTGAAATGGAAACATATGTTTTAGTCAGTCATTTCACTGCTGTGACTAAAGATCTGACCATAATAATATTAAATGGAGGAAAAGTTTATTTGAGTGCTTATGGTTTCCGTGGTCTTAGTCCATAGAAGGCTCCATTCCTCTGGGCTTGAGGTGAGACAGAACATCATGGCGGAAGATTGTGGCAGATGGAAGCAGCTCACATGGTGATCTGGAGGCAGAGAGAGACTCTACTCGCTAGATAAAAAAATATATATATACCTCAAACTACTGTCAATTCCCACCTCCTCCAGCCACACCCTAACACTACATTTACCACTCAGTTAATCCCTATCAGGGATTAAATCACTCATTGGGTTAAGACTTTTACAACCCAATAATTTCTCCTCTGAATCTTCTTGCATTGTCTCACGTTTAAGCTTTTGGGGAACACCTCGCATCCAAACCATAACACCATGTTTGCTGTTTTTATTATTTTTAATCAATTAAAATTTTCACTGTGAAGATAAAGGTGCTAGACACTATTAAGGAATCCACAGGAGTTTTCCAATACATCGGATCCAAAAATAAGCAACTGTTGCTTATCAGAAAGGATAATCAAGGTTAAGGAGAGAGGTTTGCTCAGAATCTCACTTTTAATGTTGTTGGGAAGGAAGAAATATTTAAAAGGTAGATTATCTCAGGTTGCAGAAAGGGAGTTCATGTGCTGGCAAAGAGTGTGGGCTCTGGGGCAAGCTACACTTGTCAATATTGTTGCTTTTCTGCTTTCTAACTATATGGTCTTGAGCATGATACTTTATCACTGAATGCCCCAGTTTTATGAGCTTAAATTCAGATAATAATACCTATCTCACAGTAGTATTTTAAGGACAAATTGAGATTGTTAGTACATTTTTAGGAGGAAGCTGAAGTTAGGTCTGTTTATTTATAATTTCTGTTTAATTCCTTCAGTCCTGGATCTATTGCTGAAAGCTAGGCCCAGGCATGAATGAAGAGACACTGTGCTGGTGGATTCCTGAAGCCTTAGGATAAACACTCTCTGCCTGTATTGCCAATTTTGCTTAAATATTTTGGGGATTTTTTTTCCTTCAAAGAAAACACAATGTATTATGGAGTAGAATGAAAAATGTTTATGAATTTTTGAAATAAACCCAGAATCTTCAAAGAAATTTTATTCAGGTTTGAATGAGGAAGTTCACTTTAGCCATTCTTCTTTTGTTTTTGTTTGTATTTGTGGTGCTGGGGAATCAAACCCAGGTAATCACATATGCAAGGCAAGCACTTTACCACCCAGCAGCTCCTCTCTTAAAATTCAGGGTACAGGTGGCCCCAATTGTCAAGGAAACTTTAATCAGGTGGTTTAGGCAGTACTAGTTTAGAATTTTTGAAAGGACTAGCAATGCCTCATCTAGAGAGAGATTGTGAGTTATAAATCTTTCAGATTGATGATGTATATTTGAATACATATCTTAGGCTTCATATACCCTGGTTTTGCTAATAGAGGAGATGCTTTACTGAACTCTTGATCTGTTTCCCAGTATGTTGGTTTAGATGACTTTGACAAGAGTTGCAAAACTGAAGAAGTTGTGGCTTACAGTATTTATTTCTCCCAGGCCCGCCTGAACTGCAAGCACTGTGGGAAGCCAGTGATCGACGTGCGGATTGGCATGCAGTACTTCTCTGAGTACAGCAACGTCCAGCAGTGTCCACACTGTGGGAACCTGGACTACCATTTCGTGAAGCCATTCTCCTCCTTCAAAGTTCTCGAAGCTTATTGATGAAAGCTTTGCTTTAGTAATAGCTATTTTATTGATATTATTACTTTATTACATATCTTTTATAGGGAAACATTCTGTGACATTAATTTCTTTTCTAATTTAAAGCAGAGTTACTTTGTATGTGTGCCACTAAAATGGGGACTGCCCTTTTCCCTGTCTTGATTCCCAAATGTTAGTCTTTGGTCAGGACCAGATAGATGATCGAGTGAGTTTGGGTAGGGGTTTACTCTCACCAAGAGTCTGATGCAGCTTTAAGGTTGTGGGGAGGATGGCATGGATTTAGGAAGGGGATTATGTGGCTATAAACTAAAAGCCTGATAGGAGTTTGGAGGGAGCTCTTACTAAAATGTTAACTATAAAGACCCGCTTTTAGATCCTCAGTGGACCTTGGGGAAACATATGACAAGTGAATGTAAGTCTGAGCCTGGAGAGCAAAATAGTGTATTAGGCTTTTGCAGCTTAGTATTCTGCAGCACATATTGACATGCAATTTACTCTGACAGATGATTTGAAAGTGGACATGAGTGCTGTTTCTTTCACTGTTGTAATTTAACAGTCAGTTTTCTTACTGAAAATAATACCCAAATTATAAGATATCACAGTTGTTGGTGTTGCAAATATTTTTAGGTAAGCTGACCTGTAACAGAGACTTGTGAAATGAATTTGGAAATGATGTACACTGAATCAAGAGGGCAGAAAGGCAAAACTTTGATCAACTTCTAAGTCAAGATTCAAATGACAAACTAGCTCTTAAGGATAATCCTTACATAACGTGACTTGGAAAGTAATAGTTTATATAGGTTGCACTGTTGAAAATGCTGTTTGGTACATCCTTTTTGCAGGAAATCTCTCAGTCACAGAACCTAATGGGTAAGCTTCAGAACCAGTTATGACAAACTTACTTCCTCATAATACCTCATAGCCACACTTAGCACATTTAAAACTGAGTTTCCAAAATTGAATAGTTGATCTAAGGAGGGAAAGAAAAAAATTGAGAGAATGATGAAGATAATAATTTTGATACTTCTTGTTAAGGTGCGTTTCATTTTGGAGAATCACTATAGTACATAATGATATATCTCAAGATCTCTAGGATACTTTATTTCTGCCCCCCCCCAAAAAAAAATCACATACAGAATTTTGGGCATTCCAAAATACAACTTTTTGTTCATTATATCTTGGTGATTTAATACACTGATATGCCATGCCCTGGTAGAATTGGAATTGAAAAATTATTTCTCATAAGTGAATTTGATAAAATTAAGTTATATATATATGTGTATGTATATACATACATATGCTAAAAGAATACTAAAAATAATAATCTTATGAATAGCCACATTTGGGGTTGGTGTGAATATTTTATATTACTCATTTGGTTGATACCATTTTTTTTCTCAGTGTGTTTTTTCTTTTTAGAAGTATTTAGGCATTGCAAGTGAATTTCAGTTCTACTACATGAAGCATTTGATGTTTTGTTTGATTCAATACAGCATTGAAGAACCAATGCATTCACTTAATATTCTTCAACTTTCAATTGTGATGATTGTTATTTGGTTTTCCGCTTCTGATTTGGTGTCTGATGATCTGAAAACTCTTTCACAGTGGAAGGAAATGCTCAAAATGCTTACGAGAAGCAGAAAATCAATATTGGTCAGACGGTGTTTGATGCAGCTTCAAGAGGTCTATAGGACATAGCCTTGAAAGTTTCTCTTTGATACACAAAGCTGTAATTGTGAATTAACTATTTCCCTATTGGTTCTCTTATGCACCAAGTATAAGTTTCTCTTGTCTTCAGAGAACCATTTGGATTTGATATCTGAATTTAGAATAAATGTTAAAATATTTGTAATGCAATTCTTTAACTCACCTACATTTTTCTAGTGAAACCTGTTTATTGTTATTGTAAAAGTTGATCTATATACTGCATCAGCAAACTCTTCAGTTTCAAACCATTGTGGGTGTAGTGAATGCTACATTCACTGTTTTCTCCTTAAATTGTTTTCTATACTCTGAAAAGTAAGTATGATGAGGTTTCACTATAATTAAGTAAAAAAAATTTTTGGATGTTATTTTGGTGGTTAAGTCAGGATTCTGTGGATGTATTCAGTCATATACAAAGAGAAACTGAATATCTTTTGCCTTTTCAACATTACATTTTTGTCTAAAAGGAAAAATTGGGCCAATTTGAGAAGAAAATATAGTTGAGTATGCAACACCATAATGATAAATATCTTTTTGGGATCTGCTGACCTTAATGTTTTCTCCAAGCTTTTCCTGAGTACCTTGATGGCAATTGGGATATGTCAAGAAAGATTATTTTTGTTGTAGGTAGGACATTAAAGGATATCAGTCACAAGGAGATCCAGTTTCTGTCTTTCTGATGAGCAGTATTCAATAACATAAAGGCAGTCTTAAGAATGACTAATAATTTCAAAGTGGTCTTTTATCTGACATTTTTGTCACTTATTTTTAAGAGTTCCATACCTTGAACTAATTATCTGCTTTAGTTTAGAGAGAAGACAATTTCTCATTGATCATTTTCTCTTCAGACCATCTTAGCTCTGTACTTTCTTCTGGTTACATCTGAAGCAGTTAATTATACTGGGCTTTTACCTAATAAAAGATAACCATTGTGCTATGAAATTGAGATATGGGTATGTTTTCCCATTCTAATTACACAGGAACATCCTCATGCACCTTTTAATATCTGGTTTTTGTAAAAGAAGTTAATTTTCTGAATAAAATGAATTTTTTTATCTGGGGAAAATTAATTCATCAAGAAAAAATATTGTTAGGTGTTTAAACACTAAAACTAACAGATCCATGCATAGCTTATTAGACTACAAGAATTAACTTGCTGAAAATTTTCATTTAGTCCTGCAAGACCAATGTTCAGTCGTCCTAAGCCCAGCCCAGGTTGGTAACCCCAGTTTGCTTTTTCTATTTAGTTTCATGGTAACACCTGTTGAGCAGTTTTAGTTGGAGGTTGGGGATAGATATGAGGAGAAAGTGCCCTTGTTTAGTGTTTGGGTTCCAATAAGATGCTGCCTAAGCCATTTCATCTCCATGTCCTGTTTACTTTATTATTATTCCAGATAATTGGAAGAAAATAAAACAGGTGGGCACCATCAAAACCAGCTCAAAACATATTGTTGGTAAAGATCTCTTGTCAAGATATTTTGGATTGCACTTTTTTTGAGGGAAGACAGTGTAAATAGTTGAAGAATGTTAATAAAATTGAAACATTTGGTTATGGAATTGTGTGTGGTGTTAGAGGGTTTCTGTTTGTGAAATGTATGTATTAAAATAAAAATTTCAGAAACTAACATTGTCTTTAGTGTGTCAGTATTTTTTGTTGGAATTTTTGAGAAATGAGATGATCTAATCAAAAAAGATAGTAGATAAATAGAGAGATTCTGAGGTTTTAAATACTTCAGAAAACCATTTTAGTGTCACTATTACAACTAATCAAAATTATAGACTGTGCTGTTTGCAAATTGTGTATCACACGTAAACTTACTTTCAACAAAGTAAGCATTCTATATAGCAACCCTCCTCCCCCTGGCCATGTGACTAGTCCAAAATTATTGTTCTTGTTATAGAGGATTCTTTTGAATAGAGAGTGTCAAATGAGATTTAAAATGGAGGCTACATTTTTAAAAAATACTCTTTTTGTTGTAGATGGACACAGTATCTTTATTTTTATGTGGTGCTGAGGATCAAACCCAGGGCCTCACACCTACAGGGCAGGTACTCTACCACTCAGTCCCAGCCCCAAGGCCACAGTTTTGATAAACTCCAAGGCCAGCCATGGTTAGTCACATTCTGAAAACTTAGGTCATCCTAATTTACCCCCAATATGATCTATAATCATAAATTAACCAAAATATAAGCTTTATGTCCTTGTGAATATTAGATAAGCTTAAACTTCTCTGCCTTGAAAAGAATATTAATATATATCAGCCAAAAGCAAAAGAGGGTAAAACATTCCTTATGCTTTATAAAGAATTCTGTAACTGGGCTGGGGATGTAGCTCAGTGGCAGAGTGCTTGCCTTGCACATGTGAGGCACTGGGTTCAATCCTCAGCACCACATAAAAATAAATAAATAAAGACATGCCGTCTATCTACAATTTACAAAAAAAAATTCTTTTAAATGCTGTAATTGTTGTGAGCCACTTTCCCTGCCACTTTCTGTTCAAGGTTTCTTTACCAACTGTTCTTTTGAATGCAGGATAAACTTAATTTTAAAAATTTGATTTGATTTTAATTTTGATAGTAGTTGATCTTATTCTACAAATATTTTCTTTGGTTCCTAGGCCTTTACAAACTTTCATAATGAAAAGACTAGATTGTATGCTTCTTCATTCTAAGCAAAGTAAAACTGAGTCATTGTTAAACTTGTGTTTTTTATGTAGTATTATCAAATATAATTTATTCTCTAGATTGCTGGTCCCTTAATTTCATCATCGTTCTCAGCCAGTGGATAAAATCCAAAAAAATGTTAGAACATAGGACTAGATGTGTAGGAGAAAAGAGTCTCTAATCTAACAGGATTCAAAGCCTGTGTTGCTTCTTATTATAGGCATCAGAAGCATAAATTTTATTTTTTTCAAAGGCTTAAGTAGACTTGAGATTTTGTGACTTTTACTAATGTAACATGTCAACAAAGTTTCATTGCCATTTTCAGGAAACTACAGTTCTTACTACAGAGGGGAAGGGAAGACCAAAGTTATACAGTGATTGCTAAGAGTTAAGTTTAGTGGAAGAAAACTCTTACTTGTTCTTAATGGTTTGCACTTTAAATCTTGCTGGCATTATTTTAACTAAAGTTTGAAAAAACTCAGCAGCATATTGCTAATTATGTGGGCTATTTAGTAAAGAGTTAAATTTTGAAAGGAAAAAAAAGCTTGTCTTGAGCTTTCATTCTTTTCCTGTTTTCTTGGCTTTCCACACTGGGGGTCTAAAAAATGTGAATGTCTTTGAAGATAGTAAAATGCGGTACAGGTATAATATTTGAAATAATAATGTTTTGTTGCTATTGTTGTTTTACAGTGTTTGTGATTGAACCTAGCTCCCCACACATTCCAGGCAAACATCCTACCCCTAAATCATATCCCCAGCCCTAATAATAATGCTATTTTTAAAGTAGAATTTTTTTCCTAGTGGAAATCTTTAGCATTGTGATAATTATGTAAGCTTGATCTGGCATTGCTAAGTTTCAGGGACAGAAAGATAAAGTACTTTGTCTCATGGAGTCCAGTAGAACAATACTGGTTACATATTTCAGTGTTCAAATGGACTGGCCACTGTATCTTGGTGATGGTCTTCATGTCAAGTGGTCTAAGACACTTGATTAAAAATTTTGGTAGTATCTTAAAATAAGTTTAGGACTACCTAATTGCATTCCTAAAAACCCCAGTAACTCTAGAAAGTGGAAATGCCATAGACCTAACAGTGATAGAATTTAGAGTAAGGGCTATGCTTTTCATTGTAGTCACAGAGTAAGGGTTTGTTAAGTTACATTGCCTCTTGTACTCATTTTAGAGATTCACTGAGGCCCAGAAAACTTAAATCTAAATAAGGTTAAGTAGTTAATGGCTAACCAGAAATTAAATCTGGATTCCCTCAGCTCACCATGGCTTACAGCTAGAGTGTCCATGAACTTTCTTCAGTTTTGCTTTCTCTTTTCTATTACTATTATCATATAGGCTACTTTTAGCATGTTAATTATTAGATTTAGATGTTTGGTACCTGAAAAAGCTTTTTAAACTTCCCTCATTACTGGAGAACCTGTTTTTGTTTTTAACATCAACTTTATATAGTGAAATTAATTTTGGTTTTTGGTTTGGCTTTTGGTTGTGTTTACTGATTTCTTCTTCATTTTCTGGTACTAAGAGCAACACATCTGGGAAATCTAGATGAATGGCAGATATATTTGCTATAAAGGGAAGAAATGTCAATTATAGGGACATACACTTAACCAGATATGTAAATAGGAAGATATCTATTCAACTTGTATAAAACATGGGCTTGAGGGATTTAATATTAACTATGGCTTAATATAAAAACATATAGGAGAAGTGTCTGGACCTTCTGTGGAATGGTGAGTCCCTAGAAGTAATTGAGGGAAGCCTCGTGGGCATGGAATCTGTGTGTATGTGCATGGGGGGTGCATGTGTACTTTTAGAAACAACTTTATTGAGAAACAATTGCTATACAATAAAACATACATATTAAAAGTATACAATTGATATAGGTGGAGATATATAGCCCCCCACAGTCACAATAGTAAACATACCTATCACTCCCTCTCACTTTCTTCCATGCTTTTCCATCTGTAAGCAACTACTGCTTTCTCTCCTCCAAGATTAGTTTGCCTTCTACAAGGTTTATGTACATAGAATCGTATAATGAGTATGTATCCTTATTTGTCTGACTTCCTTAACTCAGCATAGTTTAGATTTATCTATGCTGTGTTGCTTGAATAGGTCCTATTTGTTTACCTGCCGATGGACATTTGGGTTGTTTGCAATTTGAGCTATTATGAATAAAGTTGCTATGCAAATTGTGCACAAGCATTTGGACATATATTTTCTTTTCTCCTGGGTAAAAATCTAGGAGTGCAATAGGTAGACAACCTTGAAGGGGTGTGGCAGATTTTTAATAAACTGCCAAACTGTTTTATATAGTGATTGCATCATTTTTTTAAACTCATGATTCTCCTGCCTAAGCCTCCCAAGTAGTTGAGATTATGGGCGTGCACCACCATGCTGGTCACACTATTGGACATTCCTAACAACTGAGAGTTTCGGCTTCTCCACATATTTGCCAACACTTGCCATGGTCAGTCATTTTTTAAAAAATATTTTTTTTAGTTTTAGGTGCGATACCTTTATTTTTACTTATTTATTTTAATGTGGTGCTGGGGATTGAACCCAGTGCCTCACCTGGTCCAGGGGAGTGCTCTACCACTGAGCCATAATACCAGCCCAGTCATTTTAACCAGTTTTTAATCTGTGGTGGTATAGTATTGGGTTTATAATTTATATTTTCCTAATGATAATGGAGCTAAGCACCTTTCCATGTGTTTGCCATTTGCATGTCTTTGTTTAAATCTTTTGCCCACTTTTATTTACCACCCCCATACCCATACCCTAGGCTAGGGACAGAACCCAGGGCCTTGTGCATACTGGATAATTGCTGTACCTGGGATAACCCATCAATTTGTCCTTTGTGTGTTGTGCATTTGATGTCTAACTTAATCCAATGTTGCAAAATCCATATCCTCTGATTTCTTCTTGAATTTTTATGCTCTTAGCTTTTACATGTAGGTTATGATTGATCCATTTTGAGAGTTGTTTTCTTTATTTATTTTTTATTGTTTTTGTGATATTAGAGGTCAAACCCAGGGCCCCACAAACACTGGACAAGTGCTTTGCCACTAAACTATATCCCTAGCCCCAGTTTATTATGTTTTGAGATTTCTTGCTGAGTTGGTAAGACTGGCCTTGAACTTGTGATCTTACTGCCTCAGCTTTCTGAGTAGCCAGGACTATAGGCAGAACCTACTAATATTGGTAATTACATTTCTTATATGTGTCTGTGGATGAGCATTTTATTTTCAGTTTAGAGGTAATTTGGGTTTTGACAAGGAAGTAGATTTAAAAGGTATAATAGCCTTTCTTTAGCAGAATATGTGCTAAATATAAAAATTGGTGAAATTCTAAGAGGCCTAGCTAGGAGTAACAAGCAGTATCTTGGTTCTTTTTTTTTGTTGTTATAACCAAATAACAGATTAGGTGATGGTGGGCATGAGGAATTTCTTGCAGTGTTGGAGGCTGGGAAATCCAAGATGAAGGTGTTAACCTCTGTTGAGGGCCTTCTAGTGCTGCATTCTCACATGGCAAAAGACTATGAGAAAGAACTCACTCTCGCAAGCCCTTTTTTAATCCTTTAGGTCCTCCAAGTAGGGTCCACTTCCCAACACTCTTGTACTGGGGATAAAGTTTCCAACATGTGACTTTGGGGACATGCATTCAGGTCATAGCATAATATTTGAAAACATCCCCTACTTTTAGAAAAAAATGAATACTTTCTAAAGGGGAGAAAGTATTTGGAATCAGTAATTGTGACTTTTGCCTCATTTTCATGCATTAATTTGTTGACATCTATTCCCATTTGTTAAGATAGGATATTGCTAGGGTATTGCTTGAGGAGAACTATCTGAGTGTAGGGTAATATTTTAATAGTCTTCACACACACAAAAAAATTCCATTATTTTATTCACTTTGGGTTCTAACTCTGAGATATTTTTGATTCAAATA